GTCATTGCACTTTAATGAGAGAGGGAACATTGGAAAGAGCGAAAAAGATGACAGACAGGGCTGGAATTAGGGGAAGGGATGAGGCTCGTGTGGGGGAGAAGAGGAAGATAAAGAGACAAAAAAGCAATTAAAAGAGAAGAAAAAAAGAGGATCAGGGGCTCAACAGAGAGAGAGGGAGAGAGAGAGAGAGAGGACGGCTAGTAGAATAATTATAGAGCTGTAGATCAATAAGGTTCCCACAGTGAAGTGCTGATGTTTGAGAGGATAATGGATACCAGCTCGCTTCAAGCACATGCTGCTACTACACAAACCCCACAATCAGGGGCCCATCTGGGGCCACAGCTCTGCTGGCCAACACCAGACGCCTGCCCTGGGACCAGACGCAGAGCCCAATTAATAGGGATTTTTCTTTTGGCTCTCTCTTCTTCCATTTCTGCTTGCCTCACCACAGGAAAGAATAAATGTATATATTTTTAATTAAACATTGTTTTTACCAATCCAAAAACACATTTTTGGTTTTAAATTTACAATGACAGCTGGACATTTAACAGATATAATGTAACTTCATATTCGCTGAAAAAAAAGAAAAGAAAGAAAATTCACTCAGAAATTGCAAGTAAATTCCACAAACAAAGAAACAGCATGCAACACACTGAATTAAATGTGAAATTTTGAAGTAGAAAAACATTCTCCAATACTCACTGTAAAACTTCAAAAGCACTTTTGCTGCAGAATGGCATATTGTGCAAAGGCTTATTCACAATTTCAACAAAAGCTCCTCCATGTCCGCCAGCTAAATAATGTTATCTTGATGGTATTATCTTGTTTTACATCAGCAGAACTCACAAAATAACCTTCAAAACCAAAATGTTCAACTTCGCAAAGCACAAAAATAGTGGCACATGATCAACAGGATGAATGTAAGATCACTGGAACACAGTAACATAAGGACCGGCCCTTTTGTCAACTGGTCTGAAGCTCACCAGCCCTGCGCCATCGGGCCTTTCTTCCTCTGAAATAACACTTTCCCTTCCCATCAAATTATTTAAATTCCATGCTGTTCATTTAGTCAAATAAATGAAACATGCACAAACTGAACACAAGTGAGGTGTCGACGGGAAGCAACTTTTATTCTGGTTTAACAGATTCTTCTAGACCACTGTGCTCCATTTACATTTTCCCTTTAGCAGTCCAGACATGCGGCATTACAATCAACATGAAACACTATTCACAACCCATTTTACTTTTGTAATATAAACAAAATATAAGGCATGGCTTGATTTTATCAACTGGGAAGTGACTGAATGGTGAAAAGTGGGTGTTCTGTATTAGAACGGAGCCAGATCTGCATGAAGGACGTGGAAGCTTAAGGTCAAGTAAAGTTCACCATTGAGAGCATCTTGATCATTATTTGCTACTATTGCTGTAAACGTTATGATTTCAGCGTAAACTATAGGAAAAGGAATAGCAAAGAATATCAGAGGCAGAGCAAGTTATTACATTCTGATGGAAGATATATTAAGAATTATATATTTTACCGTTCAAATTTTACTTTAACAAGTTTTTTTTTGATCAGATGCAAGGCTCGAAATTGCGACCATTTTGGTCGCATATGCTCCCGAAATTTAATCTGTGCGACCTCAAAATATATTTGGGAGCATTTGTGCGAGTGCATATAATTGTTGTCGTGCGACCTGTTTTCATTTCTCTAAAAACGTTCAGAGTATGTGCCTTCTGAGTGTTGATAAGGTGACCTGTCTGCCGTTCTATGAAACGTTAGGCTACATAACCAATTAAACTTCATCTTTACATTCTTAACTTTAATGCAGATTTTAGATTGGTTAATATTAGCTGTCAATCACCCAGTCACTGCTTTCCGCTGTCAGGTGACAGGGAGCTAACTACCGGGGATGTAAAGGGCTGAAGAAGAGAGAAAATAAAAAAAGAAACACTGACAGATTTATTTTGTGAACCACCTAAAGTTACAAATAATGGTGCTGGTGATAGCGATCATGTGGTGAATGTTGATCCACCAGCCGAATAGAAGGCGTACAGTTTTCGGAGAGAGTGGTTGAAAGACTTCGAGTGGCTCCGCTATGAAAATGGTTCTATGCACTGCGTTCACTGTAAAGCCTGTGGGACGGAGTTTGCAGGTAACAGCGTTCGCCACCGAATCTACACATTTCGTAATTGTTGTTTTACGATGTGCGGTTTGACATTATCGAGTATATTGCAAAATCAAATCCAAACAAAACACACCTACAGAGAGCGCACGCATACATGACGTGAAGTCTAGTAGGTTAGATTAGTGCGCGCGCGCATTTAGAGTGTGTTCTTTAACGGCATGATTCAGTCTATTAAAATGCATCACAAAATTCAAGATATGGGGCCTTTACATCATTTCATATAGTTCAGGGGTAGGCAACGTCGGTCCTGGAGTGCCGATGTCCTGCAGAGTTTAGC